TACAGAAAAGGGCATAATAAACAGATAAAAATCACTAACCCCTGAAGAAAATATTTTATTATATCATAAAACAATAAACTCCTTTTATTGAAGGCGGTAACCTTCTATAAAATGACGTAACCCCTTCAGTGTATATCAAGAGGAGCCGAGTATTTTCTTTGAAAGACTTACAAAGCAGAAGCCAATTGCTCATGTTTGGAACCCACCTGAATACTTTACAACCAATTAGCTCCCTGTTTAGATACATGCGTTTAACATTTATGATGAAAACAATATCATAAATATCATAAATGTGAACAATACTCTTGTTTTTTTTCTCAATCTGCGTTTATGACATGAAAGCAGCTCCACTGGCAGATGCAGAGAGTTTGACCCTCATTAAGAAATTTTGGGGTGTTAAAGTAAAAAACAGTCATCGGCTATTTAACCATTGAAGTTAAAAGCGATTGTGCTGTCGTGTTCGCAGGTGTTCCTGTGTAAAGGGGAGGGCTGTACAGATAACGCTACCAACATCCTCCACTACTACCACATCACCCTGGCTTTTCTCACTGCTTTTCTGTTTGCCACCCATTTACCCGAGCGCCTGGCACCCGGAAGCTTCGACTTCATAGGTAAACCAGATCTGACGAGCACTCTTTATAATTATTAGCATGTTTAGCTTTTTCGGCCTGTTTACTGATAGAGCGTTATCGCCGGTTCCTCTTAGCTGTACATAGAGTTTCACAAAAACCCCCAAATTAAACCACTGTACACAACCTGCTCAGCACTAAAAGGAAGACGGACAAAGGAGACATTTACAAGCTACTGAAAGCAGAGATCCATGAAAGAACTTTAACTGTCTCTTTGTTGGCAAAGATTACGTTAAAAATGCTCTCTGCATCGCTGTATTGTGCTGCATTTCTTGTCTTTTCCTTCAGCATGAAATTTTTTTAGCTTTTTTGAATGGTCAATGTACTATTTATTATAAGTCATTTGTTTTGGCTATTTTTTTGCAATAAGTCTGTGACTTTCACGTCTTTATGGTTTTTGTACTTCAAATAAAGTGAATTTTAATGCTAATTTCTGATCCTAAGGTGAGGTTAATAAGCATTCACCAACACTAAGGGGTAATTAATCAGTGACAAAAAGATCCAACGGAAAAACATCCATCAATTATAAACCAAACCAGCATTGAACAAATGTTTGACTAGTTTGACTTAATCATTTTCCAGCTTTATTAAGTGGATATTAAAAAGTATTCTCTCTGCTGTGCTACAACAATAATGCATAATCACCTCTGTTTTTTCACATATCCTGTGTTAATGTTGCGCTTCCAATGTGAATCATTTGCTCAGTGCTGAACGTTTGCAGTCTACCTCTTTCCTCTAACAAACACATATCAACTGCTCCCTCTGCAGGTCACAGCCATCAGCTTTTCCATGTGTGCGCCATCCTCGGCACCCACTTCCAGATGCAGGCCATGGAGCAGGACATGACGATACGCCGTTCCTGGCTCGTGGAAAACTCAATCCCCATCACATTTGCCAACTCAGTGGGTCCGGCGCTGCTTTGTGTGGTGTTGAATTTGGTTGTCATCTTCCTCTACAGCCTACCTCTCCTCTTGGGCCCAGTCTGCAAAGACAAGAAGTACAGTAGAGGACCAAAGAAAGACAAACTCTGCCCCCACAGCTGAACCTCCAGCTTCATTGGTCATGGTTTAAAGGGCTTTAACTCATCCAAATCATACACTTTATATGGTCCCAAGACTAAAGAAATTGCATTATGGGTAATATAAATGGTATAACATAGTGAAGGGTGCACCAGATGAGGAACTGACATGATGTTTAAATGAATCACGGTTGCATTTGGCCTTTAATTATCAATGAGATGCCTGCTGCTGTGCTGATAGGCTGAAAATATAGGTGCAAGGAACACAAACATAGCATGAAAATTAACAACGTGTTTGTTAAGTTTCATAATATGTAACGACTTTTAAATGTTTCTGAGGAAACCTGTTTCTACATGAAGCTACAAATGTAGCAGGTTAGCTACATTACGAGGCAGCGCATGTGTGTTTATCTTTTCGCTTCTCCGATTTCCACACTTGTGGTGTATGAAGAGACTGCAGGGAACAAAAACTATGTAAAATACTGTTTTTTCCCTTTCAATTGCAGGTTTTGATGCTGAACTGACAATGTGCCTTTTCATGTTTCTCATGACTGCCGTTAAGTTAAATGTGACATCAGTCAAATAATGCACATCAAACAAATGAAGCAGTTTTGTTCAGGGAGATCAGATGTTGTTTTTTTTTTGTTTAAACTTCAGCTTAATAGACTGACAGTGTGGTCACTGAGCACAGAGCTGATGTCCTCTGAGTCATTTATTTCCCTCAGAATGTCTGATGTTTCTGGTGTTACATTTTCCTGGATTACAAAACAGAGTATTTAAGAACAAAGTTATTTATTATGAGTTTTTCATATAAACTGTAAACTACGATTGTCTGTGTCCCTTTTATTTTAATTAGGAGCATCCTGTTGCATAATGCTGGCACATTAGTGTTTATCCTACAAGTATTTACATCCTATAACAGGGTGACTAGATCCCAACAAACTAAATGTGGGACAAACAGTTTGTTTGTCTGAGAGAAATATATGAGTATGAGTGTGAGACATGTGAGGCCTGGAGTGTCCAACCTAAAAGAATAAACAGATGTAAGCTATGCAGGTCAAATGTGAGGGCCAAATATAGTATTCGAATACATAGTATTCATATGGGCAGAGTCATGTGAGCAAAAGCAGGACAGCAACCTTGCTTGCATCTACAAAAAATGGCCTGCTAACACTGATTGCAACTTGTGGTGACTAAATGGTTACCCAGATTGTGGATGTTTTAAAGTCACAACCACTTTTGATCCCAAGGTAATTGCACAGGTCGTCTGATAAGAGGCAACTTTTCTGCAAACACTTGTAGCCTGAGTTGGACTGGCTGGAATCACTCTCAGAGAGATTTTCAAAGGGTTGCCAACCACTGCTGTCTAATTTAGAAATGCAGACATGCCAACATGTCGCCAAGACTGCTGGCAATCATGGAAAATGACTCCCACCTTCTTCATAACACACTGGACAATCTGAAGAGCAGTTTCAGCAACAGATTCCTTCAACCTTGCTGTCTGAGGGAACAACGCAGGAGTTCGTTCCTTCCTGCTGCTATCACTCTCTTTAGTTCATCCACTTGGGTCAGACCCACACATACTGAACCAGACTAAACATTGCTCACTGCACTCTGTCACTTTGTACTCCACAATGTATACTTGCACACCTGTACACTAATATCTTTAATATCACAGAAATATTAGTTAAATATTAGTTTTAAATATTAGTAAATATTAGTTTTATATTCATGTATATAGTTATATTTATATCTCTATAAAGAGAAAATTCATTTTATGTGATTTGTTGTATGCATGCTGCTGTGACAATTCACAGTAGCATTCTTTTCTGGGATTAACAAAGTTTATCTGATTCTGATCAGTCTGCATAACTCGAGGGGACTCGACTCAACTGACTGTCAGTTGGTTGTTTTCTGGTTATATACCGATAGAACAGGACTGTTACTGAGCATAACCCATATGGAAAAGATATATATAAATCTTATAAAGTTTGTATCTGTCTTGTGTGAAACTTGTATGAAATGCATACGAGAGTGAAAACAGATATAAGATCCCTAGAAAAATTTTATAAATGAAACTTGTATGTTTTGGATACTTAGTAAAATAATATATGAAAGTGGCCACTTTCCTGAGTAAATCATATAAGCCTTATATGATTCACTATATGAAGTAGGCCACATCTGATGCAAGTCTTTTATAAGTTTTTTCTATTTCTTTTCCATATGTGAGAGCTAAACGTGGATTTCTGTCTTTGTGCCCAATAACAGATAGGTGATTTCCAAGGACCCATTCAAACAGACTTATAGTAGACTGACTCCCTCTTATGGCAACATTTGGCAGGTTTCAGTGACAAGCTCATTTTATAACTTTATACAATGTAAAAATTATTTATCCATTAACTTTCTTATTGAATAAATGTATACTGCCAATGTTTAACTGGGAATGTTTGCAATAACACTGTGTAAACAACCATGGCAGACCCAGTGGCATTTTAACCATTCTTTATTAATACTGGATGGTTGCTGTTCACAATACACGTAGAGCTGCAGCTCTCCCGCTGCCCGCTCAACACCACCACAACAACAACGCCAACCACAGGACCCAGTACAATGTTTAATTCGGCGGGGCGTGATTGCGGATGCCGTGCAGGTGCGTCCGCCTCCTCTGCACGGCACCACAGGCCACGCCCCACCACACACTGTATCATGGAGTGTATCGTGGTAATTCCCACCTGTACTATTTGGTCACTCCATATCATGATCCTCTCCTGTGTGAAACTGAAAACAATGATAACTTGGGAAAAGCACTGGAAACTGATTTTCACTGACTTCACACACTTATAAGCACTTTTCCAGTCTTGTTGCATTTCACATGTGGTAACTTCCATGATATTCATATTTATTTTGGTCAGAAAAAAAAAGGGGGGGGGGGGCATTGGGTATAAAATGTAACAGAATACAGGAGATCAGGCAGGTGTCTGACGCTTAGACGACTCACTGAAGTGTTGGAAAAAATAAACTGTCGAACTAATTAATTGCAGATTAATTAGAAAAACGAGTTATTTCCCCAAATAGTCACTCTAATATATTGTCACCCAAGTCCCCCTTCTTTAACGTCTCAGGTGTAATTTAATTAAGGTTAATTACTAGTTTCAAAGTTCAGAAATAAAACAGAAGTTAAATGTTACGACATTGCTCTAAAAAATAGGAATGAAGAGGAAAGTCATGCTAAACTTGTGAAAATACAGCTTACCAGAGTTTCGGACCTGTCTGTTTGATCCAGAGCTAGTAACGGAGTTAGGAGGGGGAGAGGATGGAGGCGGGACTTCCGCTGCAGAGTATTGAGATTGGCTGGAAGTTCAGATTTTCGGAAGAACGTTTACAAGAGGGAAATTTTCAAATCGAGAAGAGGCGCTCGTGAGAACAGCGGAGAGGGTGTTCACAAAACAAACAATGCAAAGACCGGGGTCAGTATTATCATCGTTTACACGTCTAACAGTGAACAGGTAGCACATTATAAATGAGAGACGTATTAAAAGGACGTTAGTTTACGGTTGTTCTCTGAAAAGGGAGCTTTGAGATTATCGCCGCGTAATTAAAACCGTCTGGTAACTGCTCAACTGGCTTCCAAGCTCAGATTCAACTCCTCGGCTGTTTCTGACAGTGTTTGCTACACTTTTTTTTAAACCTAAAGGGTAGCGTGACTTCGGTTTGCTTAACGTTCAAAATATAATATCGAGTAAGAAATAAAATTACGTTACCGTGGTTAGCGAGTTAGAAGCTAACTTGGCTAGCTAGTTAGCGTAATTCATAAGAAGACTCCATTCATCATACACGTCAGACCCTCACTGACAGTTTTTTTTTTTAATCTTCCGCCTACCTACCCCTGTCTAACTGTGTAGTTTGGCACTTTAAGCACACGTCTGTTTCTACATAATACCGCACAAGACACACACACACGTTAAGATAGGTCGGTTATTCCGTAACTAAATAATGTGTTTGGTGTTGTACTGACACTTCCAGCAAAGGGAAGACTCCTCGGAGGCCTGGGCCAAAGAAGGCGTCCAACACAGAGAGAGATCCTGTGGGAGTAAGTGAACTTATTTACTCATTATTCATGAAACTAAAGTATAATTAATGGAGAAGCCATTACTGTCAAATCCTTTTTTTGTAGTTTAGTGCTTCGTGTAAACACAGACAAGACAAGGTGATCGATGTAGTTCTTTACAGCTGCCAGTGCTTGTGACAGATAATTGCTGTTTTTCAAACAAAAATGAGAAAAAGGTGACTTATTTCAACCTTTTTGAGCCCTTTGTTATGACCATGCCAGTTAACTGTTGAGATTTGTTGTCTTGCTTATCGTATTTGTTAGTAAACTGAATATTTGGATTTGTACTGTTAACTGAGCAAAATGGCAAACTGGATTGTTACTTGGACTTGAGTTAGAAAAGTTTGACACATTTTCCCAGTGTTCTGGGGTTTCAGAAACTAAACAGTTAATCATGTGACTGATTGACTTAAAATCTTCTAGTCTAAAGAATTGTTAGTTACAGTCCTGTTGAATAATTTTGTCCGTTTTAAGCTCACAGACAGACTTCAAATCCATATATGTCCGTGAATTACCCTCCATCATGGTGGAGGGCTTTGTGTGTTCCAGTGATCACAGGGGATATGTTTTGTTTTTAGTAGGGTCTCCAGACAAATTGGTCCTACGTGGGCGCCAAACAATGAGCTTTTATAAAAACAACATTTATTGTAGGTGTACTGCCGTATACGGCCCCTTGGATCAGAGGATGAGGAATGCTGTGTTGAGATGATCAGCAGCACCACCATTCAGCTGCATGCTCCTGATGGTCTTAAAGCTAACCGAAATGGGGAATACAAGGAGGTAAGTGTGTTTTATAAAAATGTAAAACAAGCTGGCCACTCATACTTGATTAGTATTTCCCCCCCCCCTTCCATGAGCTCAGTTTATCGCTGTTAAACTGTGCTGAAAATCACAAAACAATACTGAACCCAGCAAATACCTGAAAGCGGCTACCAAAGAATTTTTTCGACAGCGATTTCATAAATTATAGTAACTGCTATTATTGTCTCTATTCTTCTTAATACCATTGATGTATGTTCTTGTTTGTTTACCCTTCAGACACAGTACTCCTTTAAGAAAGTATTCGGTATTAACACCACTCAGTTGGAGTTGTTTGAGGATGTTGCCAAGCCACTGGTAGAGGATCTAATTCACTGTAAAAATGGTAAGTCACTTGACATGTGTACTTTGAAGACTTGCCAAAAGATTACTGCTAGTTTGCTGTGCTGGTTCTCTGTGATAGTTGCTTTACTGTGATGTTGCAATATCCTACCTACCTTCACCACAGGTCTGTTGTTTACGTATGGTGTTACTGGAAGTGGTAAGACCTTCACTATGACTGGCTCACCTGGGGAAGGTGGTCTTCTCCCCCGTTCTCTAGACATGATCTTCAACAGCATTGGACCCTTTCAGGCTAAAAGATTTGTAAGACTGAACAGTTTTGTTTTTGTTTTGTTTTTTTGCAGAGTGAGGCATTTACTGAAATTACCGAATATTTGTTTTAAACCTCTTCAGGTGTTCAAACCAGATGATAAAAATGGCATGGAGATCCAGAGTCAAGTTGATGCTCTCCTCGAGAGGCAGAAGCGAGACAGTCAGCAGGCAGTGCCCAAAACGCCATCTTCTAGGTAGCTAAGGAGTCATTTTAGTCCCCTCTTCACTTTATACTTTCATGGTGGTCACGAGCACTGTTGACATTTGAGTTTAAAGTTTGCATTTCATTGTTGAGTTACTTTTTACTTTCTCTTCCTTCTTTTTTTTTTTTTTTTTAGGCAGAAGCCTGACCCTGAATTTGCAGATATGATCAGTCCAGATGAGGCCTGTAAATCGGAGAATGTGGATGAAGACGGTTGTTACGGTGTGTTTGTTTCCTACATTGAGATCTACAACAACTACATCTACGATCTCCTTGAAGATGCTCCGTATGACCCGATCAGACCAAAGTAAGAGATTAGAAATCAACACATGCTTTTGAAACATAACGTCTTGTTAAAAAGCTCTGTGTACAAAGCTACCCGACAGCACCCGTACTTGTGGTGCACATGAAGATAGCAGTGTTGAAATTGAGAAAGTATAAAATGATACCATGTTTTTTTTTGTTGTTTTTTTGTGCTTCGTAGGCCTTTACTGACAAATTGTACTTGTAAAAACCCTGTTTTTTGTTAGGTGGCTCGGTGGAAGCACGCCTGTGCGGAGCAATGAGTATGTGTATGTGGCCAGTAAAATAGCATTACACAGTACTGTTTTTCATAGGCATAACTTGGCTGTAGCTGATAAGTTGTTTAAGTAATCAGTGCATTCCCTTCCCATTAATCCAGTCGTCTGTTTGTAGCATAGGTGTAGCTTACTGTTGTTTGTTTGTTTGTTTGTTTGTTTGTTTGTTTTCTCCCGCCATTGTACTTAATTGGCTCTCTGTCAACGTAGAGGAAACAGTGTCTTTAAACATTTCAAGCTGCTTTTGTGCAAATGCTGTGTGCATGTGTCTGTACCCCTAAATGAATGTGTATGTCTTCCTAGATTGCTTTTTTTTTTTTTTTTAAATTTAAATAATGGCGCTAACAATTATTTGGCATCTGGCTTTTGCTGCTTTGCTTACTATACCAGCATGTAATTGCGTTACCTCACTGGTGTTTGCTTAGAAATATTTTGAATTTGTTGTAGACCACCTCAATCTAAGATTCTACGAGAAGATCAGAATCATAACATGTATGTGGCTGGCTGCACGGAGGTGGAGGTAAAATCAACAGAGGAAGCTTTTGAAGTCTTCTGGAAGGGTAAGTAGAAGTCAGAACTTGAATGTGTTGAAACATTTTAAACTGTATTGTGTCTGTTTGTTTTTTCTTATGATGGAAATCAGTAAAATATTTAAATCAAACAGTTCTTATGAGTTTGAAAAGAGTACAGATGCTGAGTAAAATGTAAAAAACAATAAAGTAAGTGGTACTAGAAACAACCAGCTGGAGGAAGATTTTGCAACTAATTATGATATTTGGCTGCAAAAGTAAAGATGGGCTGAATATCATTATCATCAGTACCTGATATCATCAAAAGATTCAGAATCTCTGTGCGCAGGGTATGGGGCCGAAAATCAGTATTGGATGACCATGACTTCTGGGCTGCTACAAGGCACTGGATTTAAAATGGGCATTATTATGTGGTTAAAATCCCTGCAGAAGCTCAGAACAACTTTTCACTGCCATCTACAGATCCAGTTTAAAGCCCTATCATGCAAAGAAGCAGCCATATTTGAACATAATCCAGAAATGCTGTCATCTTTTTTTGGGCGGGCCAAAGCTAATTAAAAGAATGGAATGAGGCAAAGTGGAAAACTCATCAGATAAATTGAAATCTGAAATTATTTTTTTTGTAAAATATAAGCTTTAAAAGAGTTTCTATATTGCATGTAAATGGAGAGCAGTGACTTAGATTTTACAATGTTTGTGCCATGCTGGGATTGCTGATGTACAGCAGAACAATTTTGAGCTTCCTGCAGACATCCTCCTGACTACCAGCAATGCAAATTTGTCCTCTGTAGAGGACCTTTCTAAACCTGAATAGCTCCCATCTACTGCATACTACAGAATTACCTCCTTTTGGAATCTACAGAGGGCATTTAGGGTTTTCCAATGATACCAAATGTAAAGGGGTGGGCCTTTGGGAACTTTAGTTTTTTAATCAAGGAACATGGCGGCCATCGCTGCAAGCACATTTTATGGGGAGAACAAAAGTAAGTGCATAAAACTTTTCATTGAGCAATTTTTGGCTATAAATGTTAGCATATTTTAGATGAGGCTCTTAATAACACATTAAAACATAGTATGCTTAATTCTAACCTTTTTAGTATAGTATTGAAGTGTTTAAAAAATGTCCTCCGTAGTGGACATTTGTAGTCATTTCTTCCATTTTGTTCTGGTTTTTTTTTTTTTTTTTTTTTTTTTTTTTTAATGACCAGAAAATGAGTCCTTTTTAGAAGCAGAAATCAATTTATTGCAGTTGTGTGAGGGAAACTCATATCTTGAGTTGTCTGACGATCATAGGGAATAAGCCCTTCAAGCAGAAAGAAAGGGGAGCATCAGAGACGGTACTCAGACGAAGTCCTCCTGAACTTGCAGTTCTGTACTTTCTTGATCTGGCAATCACCAACTCATGGCTTCAGTATAGCAGTGACTTGCAGGTTTGGGTGAAGAAACCACTAAAATTCCCTGACTTCAAACTGCTCCTTGGTGAAGAGTTGAAGCAAATGTTTGCCATAAAAGTTCAGTTTTACATGCTTGGCCTTCCTATGTCCTCTGCAGTGGACATGTGATATCTAAAAAAGAAAAACCTTTTTTTTCCCCCAAAAAATTATTTCTGTCTTTCTGATTACCTTACAAACATTGGGGGATTAAAAAAAAATAAAAATTGATTGGACAACTTTTTTCCCCCCTGGTAGTCAGGAGGATATGGCAGCATTTATAATAAGTGACAAATCAAATTAACGCAAATAAATGGAAATTGTAGTAAGTTAAAGTTGTTACTGCTGGTTTTTGAGCTCACAGATTGTGTTAATGATCTCCTCTCTGTCCAGGTCAAAAGAAAAGGAGGATAGCCAACACTCAGCTCAACCGTGAATCCAGCCGCTCCCACAGTGTCTTCACAATAAAACTGGCCCAGGCACCGCTAGATGCTGATGGGGATCACATACTACAGGTGACGCGCAGCCCTTATTTAAACATGTTTACATATGTCAGTGATATCGGTATCTTCAATTATACCTTTTTATTCAAAGAAAGACCGATGTTTTTGTTTTTTATAATGCTTGGTGATGCTGACACAATGTCACTGAACAACAGGACAAAAACCAGGTGAATGTGAGCCAGCTGTGTCTGGTTGACCTGGCCGGCAGTGAGCGCACTAACAGGACCAGAGCAGAGGGAAGCCGTCTCCGTGAAGCGGGTTTGTCTGTTGTTTGTTTTTGTTTTTTTTGTTGTTGTTGTTTTTTTTTTTTTCAGCTTTTCTAATGTTAACCACATTCTGAAAGTTTCTTTATGTAGAAATCACTTTTCTTAGGAGACAAAGCATTTTTAGTGATGTCTCATTTGCAGGAAATATTAACCAGTCCCTGATGACGCTGCGCACATGTATTGAAGTCCTGCGTGAAAATCAGATGTGTGGAACTAATAAGGTTCATGTTTTATCATTTTCCCACCTCCTTGATCTCTGTTTTTAACATTTGTTGTTGTTTGTTTTTTTGTTTTTTGTTTTTCATTCATTGCAGTTTCAGAGCTGTTGTTTTCTTTCAGATGGTGCCATACAGAGACTCCAAAGTTACCCATCTATTTAAAAACTACTTTGATGGGGAGGGAAAAGTCAGGATGATTGTTTGTGTCAACCCAAATGCTGATGACTATGAAGAAACTGTGGTAAGACATTTTCTTTTCGTGTGGTAGAATGGCCTGCATGAGCAAACTTTTCTTTTGCAGCCTTGCTGGATGCTTTATGAAATAATGTGTGTACTTTATTGATCCCCGTGGGGAAATTCCTCTCTGCATTTAAACCATTCACTCAGTAAAGCAGTGGGCAGCCATTGGGCACCCGGGGAGCAGTGTGTAGGGACTGTACCTTGCTCAGGGGTACCTCAGGGTAGCCGTTCAGTGGATTCGAACCCCCGACCTTCCGATCATGGGGCCACCACTCCACCTACTGAGCTGTCCCTGCCAAGTAGACTATTTCTAAAGAGTCCTCCATATTGTGTGTTGCAGTTGGTGATGCGCTTTGCAGAAATGACCCAAGAGGTAGAAGTGGCACGGCCGGTTGACCGTCCAATATGTGGCCTTGCTCCTGGACGCAGGCACAGAAACCAGGCTTTCAGAGACGAGCTCTCACGTCGTCTGGAAGAACGAGGAGGGCCCAGCAATGCTGGTAGGTCACCTTCAAGTCTCTGCTGCTTGCTCATTGTGCTGTTATTATGCTGCATTCATACATTTAAACTTAAAGCAATCGGAGATGTTTTATTTTTTGTATGTTACTCAGTTTAAACAATCTTTACCATATCTGATTCTCATAGTAGATGACCGAGTTCTGATGACTCAGCTTATAGAAAGCCTTCCAGATTTACCTACTTGCGAGCTGGTCGACCCAGCTGATGACCAGACGCTGCCCCGCATGATTGAGGTCCTGGAAAGGAGGCATCAAATCCGACAGATGATGACAGAACAATTCAATAAAACTGGTACAGGCCATTTGTCTCCATCACGCAAAGTTCGGAATTCCAGGATTAGGCTGTTAGAGCAGATTTATTCAGTACAGCAGTGATGCATCAGTCTGAGTGTTTTCAGTATCTAAATCTTTTTTCTGTGATATGGATTGTGTTTTTGTTTTCACAAACAAGTAACATTTCTATTTAAAAATAAATATAAATCTACATCTGTTAATATCAGTGTGCTTCTTCCTACAGCTAATACAGTGAAATCCATGCTGCAGCAGTTTGACAGCCAGCTCAGTGCAAAGGATTACTTCCTTCACGATCAACAGAGCAAACTGAATGAAAAAGACAAAGTCATTCTCAGTCAGAAGACGGAGATAGAACGACTGGAGAAAAAGTCCAAAACGTTGGAGTATAAGGTGCTGTCTTCTTTCTGCAACTGACACAAAACACATGTTCTTGGAAATGTGCATTCAGTTCATTTTCTTTTAAATAATGGCCTGCATTTAACTGTTTGTGTACGCTGCTCGTCTTCAGATCGATATCCTGCAGAAGACGACGGACATGTACGAGCAGGACAAACGTGCACTTCAGCAGGAGCTGGAGACCCGGGAGCACAGGCTACAGAGCGAGCTGTCAGAGAGGAAGCGCATGGAGCAGCGCATGCAGGGCGCGGTGACGGACACCAGACTCAAGTGGGAGAAGGAGTGTGTAAGTGGAGTTGTTCACTGTTTTGAGCCATTAGGATATCAGGTATTGTAAATTATTTTTCTGCAATCAAACGTTAATTTGCACAATTATAAGTTATATTTTACAATTGCATTTCAAATATGCATTGAGAGCCCTACTGTTTGGAAACATTTGTATGGGTACACACGGAGATTAACCCACATAATCTACCAAAACATGAACAGTGCAATGTAATTATACTAAACTCCACTTTGTAATGTCCCTCAGATCGTTCATGTAAGTTTGTAATTCCAATTGTTAGATATGACACGATCAAATAAGACTTTAAATATTTTCTTGTCCATGGTTTCTGATTAGGAGAGACGGGTGAACGCAAAGCAGCTGGAGATGCAGAACAAGCTGTGGGTAAAGGATGAGAAGCTGAAGCAGCTGAAGGCCATAGTGACGGAGAGCAGCAGCGGTGGCAGCGCTCCCACTGAGCGTCCAGAGAAGCCCGAGAGGCCCTCAAGGGAGAGAGATCGAAACATCCAACAGAAGAGGTCTCCCTCTCCATCACCACTTCCTGTGAGTTATTTGCTGATGCTGCATGTTTCGCCAATGTGCACCTAATCATTCTGTCAACCCGATTGAATCAGCATGTTTCTAATCATTGTGAAAATCATGAGCAGGAATCCTGACATGTATACGCTTACTGGTTACATCACTTTGTTTTCTACTTTGTCTGTTGCTCTGTTGTGAATTTGTGTTAATCTGGAGCACCTAACATCCACAATACCTCATCCCTTTCAGGATTTCAGCCAAACTCCTTCCCACCAAAATAAAGCCAGAGTTAGGGTGTTTCAGGACTCCACCTCCACACCATCCTCCTCTGACTATTCTTCAGTAGCCTCCAGCATCTCTAGGTGGGAGCAGAGGTTCCCTGTAGATTCAGGCAGCCAGAATAGGTTCACCGGGACTCCCCAATGCAGGAGCCGGACTCCGGCCACATGCCACAGCACCAGCAGTGTTGGTCACAGGAGAGGCCAGCGCAGGGCCCCAGGCACTGAGGTCCCTGCCACCACTCTTGTCTATGGACTAGACCTAGAGGCAGGCACAAGGGTCAGTGTGTGCTAGAACCTAGATGTTCATCTCTGTGAGCCTGTAGTTTAAGCTTCGCCTTGGTGTAGAACTGCATCTGTAATTCCAACAGCTGTTGCCTTGTTTAGAAATACATTGAGTAGCAGCATCAGTGTAGACTGGTGTGTCTCCTGTCCTCGCTCTTAGGCAGACTGATCTGTCATGCTTGGAAATCTTCTTGGCTTGCATCTTAAGGCTCATGAGTATTTACATCATGTTTGTAGATCTTTCTTTTTCTGGATGCAAACTGCTCTCTAGAAATGCTTTTTTTTTTTTCTTTTTTTTTTTTTTCTTGTACTCCAGTAGCAAAATGGCATAAACATGGTATTGAAATGAACAGAAACATCTTTGTTCAAAAAAAACCCCAAAAAACACTGAGTATTAATAGTCTAGGGTCTAGGCCGTCGAGAGCGGTCCTCCGGAGTTCTCGGTCCTGAGCCTTATAGCAGCACAGTGTTGCTAATTTTCAAATTAATGCTGAAATTTGCTCAATAAAACTGGATGATAATAAGTCGGCCAACGTGGGTGGGGAAAAGATTGGCTTTTGTAATGGGTGTCTGCATTACAAGATATGCTACCTTTGTGCTTCTGTGCATGCATTGTCATTAATTTCTTAATTCTTTAGAGTGCTATCACTTAATCGAAGGGAATTTTCACACCTATAGTTTGTTTACTCTGGTCTGAATCAGTTAATGACTTTGTAACTTTAAGCTTTCCCCTTTTGATTTGGTTCGCAAGTGGACTTCAAGCAAACCAAAATGCGTACACTACAGACCACGCGAGAATGTTCAGTCTGCTAATTGGCCAGATGTGTCTGGGGCGGGAGCAACAAAAGTAGATGCAGGAAGTTGCTGGGTTTTGAACTCTTGGAGAACACAGAATTTGCATTCATTTCACAGCTAGTTGCTGACCCGTACAGATCTTTACACATCTCTATGGGCGATCGTGGCTCAAGAGTTGGGAGTTCGCCTTGTAATCGGAAGGTTGCCGGTTCGAGCCCCGGCTTGGACAGTCTCGGTCGTTGTGTCCTTGGGCAAGACACTTCACCTGTTGCTTACTGGTGGTGGTCAGAGGGCCCGGTGGCGCCAGTGTCCGGCAGCCTCTGTCAGTGCGCCCCAGGGTGGCTGTGGCTACAATGTAGCTTGCCATCACCAGTGTGTGAATGGGGGATGACTGGATATGTAAAGCGCTTTGGGGTCCTTAGGGACTATGTAAAGCGCTATATAAATACAGGCCATTTACCAGGCCATTTAGTACCCTGCCACATTCCAGAATACAAAACACACATGGCTTTTTTTTCCTTGTAAGTAGCTCAAACATGTAAGATGCACCTGCTAGTTTGTTTGGATTGAGGTCGGGTCACATTCAAACCATGAAGAAACCCCTTAGTTCATCTGCATTGGTCTGCACCTGAGTGTGATTACTGTGTTCACACCTGCACAAGTGAACCGCACCAAGGGGGAAACGAACCAGAGTCAATATAAACTGACAAAACACTGCAGGTGTGAAAACACCCTTTGACAATGTGTATTGCTGGAAGACAGTTAAACTTTTAAATAAACTATTAAACTTTGATTAGAAATTTCCAGAAATAAAGTCTATAATGCATCAACTTCCTGTGACTTCCAGTAATACATTTATTTTCCTAACAAGCTAACACCTTCTAGCGTTTCACCTTCCCTATTAACCTTGACATAGTTTGATTGGAGTCACATGTGAATAACTTCCTGGTTTGTCTTTCTCACATTGGGATCACCAGAAGGCTCTTCCAGTTCATCCAAAACACAGGCGTTCACACTCTGCCGGTGGGGAGAAATGGGTAGACCACAAACCACCTTCTAATTTGGAGTTAGACACTGTAATGCAGCCAATCATACCCAATGCAATCAAGGTGTCCACCCCAAGCGAGAAGGCTCTGTCTAAATGCCACAAGTATGTGCTTAGACATCAAGAGCTTGCCTCTGACGGGGAGATCGAAACCAAACTGATTAAGGTAAAATCAAAAAATGTGACTAATTTTTGGTGTTTGATTTTGATCATTTTAGATGTTGCATGAATTTCACTTGATTACAGTGTTTTAGTGGGACGCTCCTTCCTATTTACTTACAGATTTAATTCTGATAACACTTTCTTCCTCCTTTCCTTTTTTTTTTTTTTTTTTTGTGTTTGTTCTTGTTGTTTAAACCTCACCAGGGTGATGTGTTTAAGACCAGAAGTGGCGGACAAGCTGTGCAATTTACAGACATTGAGACGCTCAAACAAGTGTGCCCGTTAGCACCAAGGTACAGTATTATGTACAGAAATGTGATATATTTCTGTGTGCACAGAGAAATATGACTATAATACCAAAACATAGCACTTATTAATGCTAATCAAATACAAGTTATTAAATGTTCCCAAATAGAGACTGGGAAAGGTTTGAATCCTTACTTTATAAGAGAACTGACTTAAAAACAACGCTCTTTGTTTCAGTCGCAAAAGGCGATCAGGATCTGCAGAAGGACCAGCTGAAGTGGAGGACATAGAAAACAGGGTAAGCTCTTAAAAAGCATAAATACAACCACGAGCAAAACTTTACCTATGCTTTCTAATCACTGTTCAAACTTTCCCTCCCTAGGCTCCAGCAGCTAGCACAAATTCATCCCATGGGTATCAAAAGTAAGCACAAAGCATGTTTGTTTTATGTACTTTAGATTTTGGTTTTCAGTTCAAACTAAACTCTGTTCTTGGTTGTCTTTGTTTTCTTTCTTCCTTCCAGACGCAGAAAGCCTTAAATTGCCCTCAAAATTTTCATCTTGCTTTTAACATACAAGAATGGGTAATTGTGAGGAAATTGAAGGGAAACTATGCATCTTTTGGATACCAAGTTGGGTCTTTTTGTTTGTTTTTGTTTTTTTAATTCTATCAAATCATATTAGGAATTATTATGGTGGAATTATCATTTTTTCAGAACAAGAGCAATATTTAAGTTGTAATTGCTGTATTTGTGTTACTTTTTGAATTCTGGAAATATTTCTCCTTAAAAATGTGAACAAACTTATAAACACTCTATAAATGGAACCTTTTATGCTTTTGAATGCTTTGTACTATCCAAAGACGACCACATGTCTCTATAGACCTGTTGTGCTTTTTTTTTTTTTTTTTT